TACCCGCCTGCGGAGCACCTCTAGCACCGGCAACAGGCAAACACTTCGTCGCCAACAAAGGCGCCGTAACTTCCTAATTCTTTATTAAACTTAATTATGCTTCAGTATGAACTGAGAATGTTTGCTACAGTAACATAACAGTGATTCGGATGGCTGTATTAGAAGTGCAGGACTTGACAAATAATTTCCATCACATCAGAACTGAAAAATCAGGATTTCAATTAAAGAGTTGTTACTGCTTCTGCCAAAAGATACACGTCCCAGAATCCTATGATCAAAAAGCTATTTTCTTCCGAAGCTTTAAGTTTCACCTAAAGACTAATTTTTCCATACGGCTACACAACATTTTCAACAACTCCAGTCAAAGTGTTTTCATGAGAGCTCAGACAGCTTTTCTCATTTGATTCTACTTTCATATGGATGGATGTAATGGAGTTGTCTGAAAATAAAAACAGTGTAAGACCAGAGTAAAATTCTACAGTCAGTTATATTAATCTAAATCCACAGTAATTATAAAGAAAAATTTGTTTATCCCACACTTCCGTAAGCAGAAGCAGACTTTTTGTTTATAGCTTTTTTTTTTTCCAGCAAATGCAAGTGCTGTAGTTAGTGCAACAGAAGCAGATCATTATGCCTTCGTTGTGAAGTAATCAGGTTATTTGCAAATCAATGAAATAATACAGAGATTTACAAATCATTGCTCTAAATACATGCAAGTATTTTCCTGTGTTCCCCTCTAAACACAGACCTGTCATAGATGAGGAAGTCATCTTTGCTGCCATTTAAGGTAGTCCAGACATCGGGCTGCTGTTCGTCCTGCCCGTAGACTGTAATATACTCTGAAACACTTTCTTTCAGCAGGTGCAGTTTCCTCTGGGAGTGAGTTCCTTGATGGTTGACAATCACGTACGAGATATTGACCAGTCCTTCATTCTCTAACTTCACTCGCAGGTCCTCCAATCTAGCGGACAATGTAAAGAAGCAAGAATCAGACCAGAAATCATTAGAGAATCATAGGATTTGCCACATTCAACAAAAGTTAATATGGTCCATCTTGCTTTTATTACAGTGAACATTATTTTCTCCCAGTTTAATGGCAATAATCTAACAGTATTAAAACATTCTTGCCATATGCCGTGACTATCAACTATACTATCACCAAACTGGACTCTACAGTAGCTGATACAGCATGGGTCCTGCCCTTGCCAGCAGAATGCAGTACGAAGTAAAGCAGATGTCCGTTTCCAGACTGAACTCAGTGTTACTTGTATTTTGGTTCCTTCACGTTCTTCGTACACAATTGGTTTATCTGAAGTCTTTATTTAAATGCTGAGGGTTTGTCACATAGTTAAAGAGTGCATACTGTAAACACAGCAGCAAGGCGAATAATCAAGAAAGCAAACCTGCAGTAAAAGGCCGACAGCCCTCCTGCTCATCTTGACGTGGCTGTTTTCTCTAACAGCCAGAAAGGGAATATTGCAGCCACTGGGCCAAAAGGATGGCTACAGAATGTGTGCATGTCTTGGCTGGCAGCTATTAGTCTTCCCCTTTGGTATCCCATCACAGAAGTCTTTCTTTGCTCCGTAGTACAGAAAGCTGCCTTCTTGCTGTATGATGTGCAGGCTTTTTTCCCTTTTCATTTGCATCCTTCCTATTGTATTGTTCTAGAAAACTCATTTTACTTTTCTCAGTTTCAGGAAACGGTCTAGAGCTTGACAGATTTTTTTAAATCTTTCTAAAATGTACAGCCCAACTACCTTGAAAGCCAACCACAAAGCCCACTTCTGACTTTGATGGAGCCGGAGATTTACCACCGCTTTTTCAAATCTAGTTCTTAAAAAACTTGCAAACCCTATTACAGTATGGTGTTATGCAGCCCAGGGGGGGAAGCTGAGATGTTAATACAGTGATTAAAATCAAGCTCTGAAACTGGTACTACGAATTTTTAAACCAAAATGATTTCAAAATCACTAACCAACCCGAGATAAGGGCTGTATGCAATTCCTGTTTGGGTCAGCTCACAATTATTTTCTTGCTGCTGTTAGTGTCATGATACGTAATTACTTGCATGGAAGTAGGTTCTAGAAAACAGAGCACCAATGTCCCACATCTTGCGTGAAAACGTAACACTGGCGATTCCTTTGAATGCTTCATCTATTTTTTGAAACGCCGTCCTTTACCTTACCTTCTGGAATTTTTTTTTTTTTTTTTTTTTTTTTTTATCTAGGACAGGGGCTGAACAGGGGCTGGGAAGGCACCTTAAAAGTACATGTTTTGATTTGCCTTTTCCTCTACAGATCTTACACAAGAAATGAGTGCCTGTGGATCTCTCTGTTTCAGGTGTTCTAGCTGTGTCAGGTAATTACAGCGTTTCCCGGCTGCAGCGTCTTTGCTACGTTAACCG